TCAGCCGTAATGCATCACCTCTCACCTAATCACCTATATTGTTTTTGCCACAATAATTCAACAAACTTGCAAACTAATGTTCTCAATAAATATCAGTGTGTAGCATTTTGTATAGACGAAAAGCTTCTGTTTCTTCAAAAGTTCTGCTTAATTACCAAATATTTTTTGAATGCATTAATATTGGGTAGAACCATTCGAAACTACAATTTGGTCAGTGCAGGTGGCGTAATGAGTGGTTTCTCAGATTTGGGTTTGTGCGACTCTCTAACGAAGTGTTGCCATAGTCTGGGGTGGAAGAATCCCTTACCCATTCAGGTCTCTTCAATTCCACCAGCGCTAAAGGGTATTTCTACTAGTTCTTTTTACCCTTTGTGCTCAAAGGTAGTGATATTATTGGGACGTCAGAAACAGGATCCGGTAAAACGGCTGCATTTCTTCTTCCAATCTTTCAGGTAGAGGCCCTTGAATCACTTAAATGATCCGTTTGAAGCTTATCTCCGTGATGCCTCTTTATTTTAGCACTGGTTGAATTCCGGTCGACCGAAAGGCTATGCTCTTATTTTGGCTCCAACAAGAGAATTGGCGCTTCAGATAACAGAGACAGCAAACATGATCATGAACAATTTTATTGATCAAGATGGCAAAATCAACAACCCTCTTAACGTTTTTCAATTAGTCGGCGGTGTGAGTGCGGCGGATCAGGCCGTTGCTTTAGCTTGGTGTCAACATCATTTCGTTGTTGGTAAGCCCAAAACTCAGATGAAATCTTTAAGAATGTAAAATCTTGATGCTTCCATTTCTGCTTCATACTGGGTATTCGTCAGGATGAACAAGTCACCACGGCTTATCCGCTTGTTGAGGTTTGGAGTTCGTCCCTCTCCTATCTTTGAAATTGCCATTTCAGCACTCATCCTTCACATCTATGGGTGACGAGTTGTCTCCGCTGAGCCTAGTTCTGAAGCTTGTTAATGGCTAGGACTGGGGAAAACAATGGAGTTGTTCGGTCGTTGAGCTACATCATTTGCTCCTTTTCTCGGCTAGCTTTAACTTCACTTATGAGCATATATAGTTCGTTATTGGCCACTGCGTTCCACTTAGATTTATCAGGCTGGAATTGTCTTTGAGTTACTCGTCGCTACTTTCGTTTTACTTCGTTCTTGGCTGTTACCCTTTGCTCTATTTAGCTACACCAGGTCGTCTGGCGGAGCATATCAGACAGTCGTCTGGATTTGCCCTTCATCATCTCTCCACTATTAAGCATCTTGTCCTCGATGAAGTTGATCGAATGCTCAGTCTGGAGTTTGCTGACGATCTGGATCTGCTGCTGAACCTCTATGAAAGACCGCTTTCGTGTGGAAGTAAGGACAAAGGTGCTACATTCCTTGAAAAACGTGCGAAAGATTTGGCTGGA